CTCTGGAAGTGAAAACACCAGAAAATATATTAAGTCATACGCACCTGTAATCCGTACGCAAGGAAGTAAGCACAAGATGCCGAACACCCTTAGCAGGATGCAGCGCACCCTTCATGCGACTCGCCGAATATCTCACGGCGCTTCGCGCTTGGTGATGTGAGAGCCTGGTCCGGTGAGAACCCGGCGTGCTCCGTCCCGGCTTTGTAGGGATGCGAGGTCAATGGTCTAACGACTACGGCATGCACGACTATGAGTATCCTCCATTTCGCTCTTCTGACGGTAAGTCGGCTTTAGCAGTCGAAATGCCACCACGCCGTCGTCATATCCTCGAATACTTCAGCCCTACTCCCACCCCCCTTGAACAAGCCCACGAACCCCCATTATCATGCTCTTGACGGCGTGCTTTTCGGCGACGAAACAGGTCGTTCGCGAAGAAGGAAGAGGTGGAGACTATGATCACCGAGGAAGTGGCGCAGCTGGGGACCAAGCTTCGCCAGGAGAGGGACATCGAGATCGCTCGCGGGGTAAGCTGGACAATCTGACGAACGCTCTTTGTTTTTTCAAGTGCGAGAAAGAAAGACAGGCAGACAGAGACAGAGACACGGAGAGAGAGAGAGAGAGAGAGAGAGAGAGAGAGAGAGAGAGAGAGAGCGTTTAGTTGCTCGCAACGCAACGTCGAGGTGTATTAGGTTTTGTGGCGTTTTTGCCCGTCATCCGTGGTTTGTTCGATCTTGTAACGGCTCGTGTTTTCGAAGTTTGGCGTGATAGAATCAATCAAAAATCTTCGGGCACTCAGCGCAAGTTCACCGACCGCCTGGCACTCTTTCCTTGCCGATGTGACGGAGCCCCCGGGTTTATGATCAGCCTGCTTTGTTTTTCAACGGGGGGTGTTGCTTTGTGTTGTTGTTTGTCTTCGCCGTACCTTCTTTCCGTTGGTGTAGGCTGATCTGAAGGAGCTGCTGAAGGAGTTTGACGAGACTATCGTGGAGAAGCAGGCGGAGATCGAGAAGGAGCAGGACCTCCTGGCGCAGATGCAGGCGAGTGTCGTCACCGCACGTGCGAGCGTTGTAACGGTTTCCGCATGTTAGGGCGATGTCGTGCCGCCGCCGTGCCTGGGCAGCAAGGGCTAGCACGATGGGAGAATGCTCTGTACCTGTTGGAATCAAGTGCCAAAGGTTCCGACGATATCAACAGAATGAGTCCATTGTTGGAAACAGGAAGGGTCTGCTTTTGGATTGTACGGTGTGTAGAAGGAAACGCAGCTTTGTCTGCTTTTGTCTTTTGTTCCTCCTTATTTTGCCGGCACAGATGCGGGTAGTACACGGTTTCGATATTGCGGGGCCCCCTTCCAAGGTTTGGATTGGAGGTACCTGTGTCATAGGTGAGATCGCGGTAGCCTTGATTTCGTTTGTTCTTTTTCACTGGTACTCCCGTCTTCATCATTGTCTGCCCCCTCCCCTACGGTGGGCTGTCTGTCCTGCGTCCTTGACCCCCCCCCCCCCCCCCCCCCCCCCCCCCCCCCCCCCCCCCCCCCCCCCCCCCCCC